TTGATGGTAAGTGACCCCGAGCCGGAACAGTGTCACAAGGCTCTCTCCATCGAAGGAGCTGGCAAGGGCGAGCAGCATGAATGCCCTCACGTAGGTGAGCGGGTCGTGGCTCATGGCGACGAACATGTCTCGTTCATCCATATTTGCTGGTCTAGTCTTCTGTCACGGTGCGCCTACTGCGAGGAGACGAAGGAGCGAGGAGACATGGGGAGAATCCAGAGCAATCAGACTTTATTTACAAATACATGGGAACACACGCGTAGCACACAGGGATTGACTGTTAAGACTAGACACCAGACTCAGGAAAACACAGGGCTAATAAACACAGGGAAAGTAATCAGGGAGAACTGAAACAGGTGGAGTGATTAATCAAAAACCATGGAAACTAAAGAGGGAACACCTGAAATCACAACACAATCAACACGAGGGAGAAACTAGGTCACAGGAGGGAACATCGAACACGTGGGAGAGGAAAACAAACACCAAAACAGTACATGGACGTGACACATGCACTGCATCTATGCATACATAAATACTGGATTAATATTCTATTTAATACATACATTTACTTCATAGACATCCTTAATATCAATTATGTTTGTTCTAATGTCAGCGTTTCTTTGTCTTGACACAAACAATGTACAAACACTGCATGGTATCATTTTTGGTAGTGGAGCATTTTACTGATTACACAAGGGCAGTATTGTGCATCCCTAATTTCTGTCAGAGTAACTCAAAATGATGGAGCAGGACACAAATCAACAAATTTGGCTGCATCAATAAATTAAGTCCATGGTGTATCCCAAAAATGCTATGTGTGTCTACACATAGTGATATTAAGGGGTATAAATGTTTTTTGTTTTTTTCATGAAAAAAATCTGCCATTGTTCTCTTTCTTGTAAACCATTGTCTCTGTCTTGTTTGCCCAATTTGTAAAAATATATGATGGTATATCATCCATATAGACAGCTGGCAAAATTTAAGTAATTTTAATACTCAATTTGTTTGCAATTTGTTTGACATCTGTAAGATATCCTAAATCACAGATGTTGCTACGTTAATCTTCATAAAGGTCTTTCCACACAACCTCTCCTCACTTAAGATGACTGCCCTTAAGATTAAAAGCCCTTGCCATTACTAATCCATCACTAATCACTAATACACTAATCCATCAAATTGCTTTAAGTAGTACATTTGTTAAATAGTATATTCAAAATTAACACACCGAATTCCTGTGAGATCACATTGGTATTTCCAGCTCTTTTAAAATTTAGAGACAAAATCAGTAAATAAGTTATTTAATTAGCTTTGTTGTTATGCTTTTCTCTCTGCAGCCGGTGACTGGAAGACCAGGGAAAGACGGGATAGGAGCAAGAGCATGGATGGACGCCCCAAAAGTAAGTATTTGACTGAAACAGAGCAGTTTATAGATTTAAATTGCTAGTACTGCTTTTTCATTTCATGGTGGGTGTGTGTGTGTGTGTGTTTTACAGTGGACAGTAGTCCAGATTTGGATTGCCCTGACAGTAAGTCAATTAACAGTAGTGTGTTATAGTTTTATAGTTTTGATTAACTGTGACTGATAACTAATGTTAATACATTTATATGTTGGTTTACTGATACTGATCTGTTGAGTTATTTAATATACAACAAAGATCTAATAATCAGTTTTTAATACTGAAGATATATATAAAATAACTAATATTGTTAATAAATACACATGAATTAGAAAAGGGAGTAACATTTTTAGTTTAGGGGGCAATTCTCACTATTAACTAACTATAAACTACGACTTTTGCCTCAATAAACTCCTAATTTGTTGCTAGTTAAAGGTGCACTAAGCAAATTTTTCCAAACGATGTTGATATTTGAAAGCACCAAAACAAACACGCCCATACCCCAACAGGACCTCGCCCCTTTTTTGATAACTCCACCCCACACATACGTACACAACCCTGGGACGATGGCGGAATCTGCATATTCAAGCGAAAACCAACACAGAATAGTTGTGTGAAAAAGCAAAATCAACGTAACTCACCTATCAGGAAGACACAAAGCAACCTTGGCATCTGATTCCAGGCCTTCCCGCTCCTTGAGTTTCTCCACTGCTGGAAATCTGCTCCAATATTTACGCGGCCCTACCTCTTGCCTGATCGAAACCCTTTTTAATGTTTTTAATGTTTTGTTCCTTAAGTTTAGATAAGGGGTGGATTAAGAGATCTAAAATATGGTCATGACGAATAAGGCATTAATATGTGCTTTATAAGTACTAATAAAAACCCAGGTGGGTGATATGGTAAAAATATCATATCACGATTGTTTTTCAGGAAAATCACGATTTTGGTTGTTGGTTTTACTATTTTGCAAGCTGTCTGAGCAGTACAGCCAAAGTCACTTTAAGACAAGTGATGTCACTCGGCAGTCATCTTTGAAATGCCTCTCGGGCATGCAAGTGCAACTCCTATCTCTTTGAATGGGGAAACATCAAATTCTACAAAACTGTTCACTATGCTTGCGATTAAATTTCCTTTTTGAAATCACCAAAGAAATCGGATATCAACTGTGTCATAAATGTTGTTTATTTTGCTCAAATAGCGTTATAAAAAGCGTATTATTCAGGCTAGATCAGCCAGTGCGCATGCGCAGTCCTGAGCGCATGTCTCAAAACGCTGACTGTTTCTATAACAACCGGGACTTCTAACGGCAGCTGCAGTGACGCGCTGATTTTACCTATTAGCGATTGGCTCCATCATTAAGAAGGCGGGGCTTCATGCAATTGAGCGGCCATATTGAGCATTGTATTTTCCCCATTCAAAACTATACGAGTGACATGTCTTGGGTATTCTATAGTCTTTGGTACAGCTAAACTAATTTCCCTATTTTAAAAACAAACCTTACAAGGTAACAAAATATAAAATAAAAAATAATGGCAGACATTTAGGCCAAAGTGGGTGAAGATAAAAATCTTTGCCATTATTTTATCTTTGTTATTAAAAAATAAGAACAAGGATATTACAAATATTAAACATTACAAATATACATACTATACAAATGAGACAAACAGTGCTTTATTTTTCAGGTACAGTAGGTGTATTTAGCAGTAGCATTCAAGAAATGGAATGAATAAATATAAAAATAAAACACTACACTTCACTGTATAAATTATGCATTGCTTCTAGATTCTGAAATTATACAAAAAATATATTATTTTGTGTTCAGCACAAGACAGAAATTAATACAGGTTTGGGACAGCATGAGAGTTAGTACATAATGGGTGAACTATCCCTTAAAAGACAAGCGGCAGCATGTTTAATCAGTCTGCTGTCGCTTTAAAACCTGCACGCATCCGTTTTTCTCTCAACTGTTTATTTTAACTTTAGACATAACCAACTGTGTTTGTATGTAAACCGTGTGTGTTTTTGACAGCATAAGCACAATCAGACACGAAAGATAACTTAGTCCAGGAATCAAGCGCTGTTTGACAGGCTTTTTAGTTCACATTCAAATAATGCACTTTTATGATTTGGAATAAGTGCAGTGTAACTCTGCCGCAGAGTTAACATTTGATGTAAATGTATGTGGCGTTGTACAGTATATTGTGATGGAGGCACCAGAACTGCAACTGATGTGCGCTGTAGCATGATACTTCGATATTTCTTCCAAAGCAGATCGTGGAGACATTTGAATCGTCCACAATCAAAAATTGTGATATCCCACACCCCTACCCAATATGCTAATAATACGCATGCTAAAAGCTAATAAGTTAATAGTTAGAATTGCCCCCTCAACCAAAGTGTGTTGAAAAACATGTTCTCCTCCAAACTGATAGCTATATATGTTAAACAATCATGTTCTTAAAACAAATAATTGAAACAAATAGTTAGGGTTAGTCAATTAACAGAAATGAATCTGACTTTGCAACACTAATCAGATTATTTATTTTGGTGCATGTATTGTGGATTATAAAATCAGGTTTCTTGTTTTTGTTTACTGAACTGTGCATTAATTTAAACAGACAGCTATGTAACATAGCATGCATTTTACAATATTAATTAAGCTGTTAAAAGCTGTTCTAAGCTGTTAAAAGACATTCTTTCAAATGACACTTTTTTATGCTACCTTTAAGAAACTGAACCCAAAATCAATGAAGAAAGAATGAAGGACATTAGAAAGTCAGCAACAGGAGAAACACATGGGGTGAGTAATTAAACCAACTACTGCCCTTTTTCATAATATATCCATGTAGTTTTCATGGTAAATGTGTCACTGGGTTCTAAATGCTTCAAAGGTCTGAATATAAAGACAGCATAAAAGATGAACAAAACAATGATAAATAGGTATAAATCAAATGGGGCCGTTTAGATCTCCAAAAAGCATGCTAAGCAGGGTGTGTAATTATTTTACTAAGATGCTAGAGTCTACAGATGATGATAATGTTAAGTGAAATATAAAGTAATTTAAAAATATAAAAAAGTCCTGACTTTATATTTTTGCAATGCATTGAATAAGAACCTTAAAACAATTACATCCCTATTCAACACATGACATGGACAATGAGTGAAGGTGACAAGTGAAGAGTTAATTAGCAAAAACCGATAAATGCCATGTTTTAACAAATAAACTGATTGCAGTGTGTTATTCTCTACATATAGAACATTCTGAACCCTAAACACGTTTTGTCACAAAAGCCGGTATTGTCCATGGTCAGTGCATCGCGAGTTCACGTTTTACAGCAGAAACAGACAAGCGCCCTTGTTTGTAAACAAAACCCTATAAGTTCTTTTTAGTGAATCAGTGGCCTGTATCACGAAGCTGGTTTCAGTTTTTACTCAGGTAAGTTTGCGTTTAGTTTGAGCAAACTCTGAGTTTTCGGGCTCAAGAAGGTGGGTTAGTTTTGAGCGGGTTTTGTCACCATGGTAACTTGGCTCTGGAGCAGGTTTTATTCTGAGTTAGAGATCGCAAACCCAAACTGGACCAATCAGTTGTGAAACAAAGTCCCATATATCTGATGCAACAAAGCCACCCCTCCTTTATCTCTCACTACAAATTAAAGCAGTTTAGAGTCAAAGAATTTTAGAGACAAAATTCCCAGACGTTTGCAGCTACATATTTACATTATAATTTATATTTTATTTATATATTTATATTTATATTTATATATTATATAAATTATAATTGTTTATAACTATATGAATATAATATATATTTATATAATTAGGCCTGTTATATGAAGTGGCAATTCATTTTAAGCATAGGATTAAAATTCATTAAATGTATATACATATAGATAAGCTTTAATATATACAACTTTTAAAATTACTAAATTCATATGTTTTAATTTTGAGCCCTGTGTAAAACTAGTATATAAATAATTAAATTCAGTTGATTAATTTGCATAGTCATATTTTCTATCTGTTGCCTTCTGTAACAATGAGGCTTAGGCGGCGTTAGAATCCATTTGCAGAAGTTTATTAATAGCAGACTTAAGTGACAGAAACGTTAAGCCAGGCAGAAAGTCAATACCACAACAGCAGTCCAATCCATCAACATACACATCCAAAAGGCAGAGACGAGTAAGCAGGCAAAAGGTCCAAACACAGTCATCAGTCTGAATCAGGCTATCAATGCAAAGGGGTAATCCAACAAATGTAAAGCAGGTAATCAGGCAGAATCATACACAGAACAGGCAGGCAGAAAACAATGGAAACGCTCGATAAGGCAGGTAAACTGGCAATATTTCGCAATGGGCAAATACACAGTCTCTTGCTAAATACTGATCAAACAGAAAATGAGCGTAGAAGCAGAGGGAGCGGTAAACAGTCAGTACTCAGGCTAGGGCTCCCTCTGCTGGTGCGGTGTTACAGAACCCCCTCGTGGATCGGTTTGAGGAGCGAAACATGAAAGGATGGAGAGATGCGATAGTTAGCAGGAAGCTCTAACTAGTATGTGACCTCATTTATTCTTCTTAGAATTTTGAAAGGACCAACATACCTGGGGCTGAGCTTCCTACTTGGTAGCCGCAATTTGAGGTCCCTCGTAGAGAGCCAGACCCACTGTCCTGGTTGGTAGGGAGGATGTGGGCAATGTCGTCTGTTGGCCTGGAGTTCCTGTACTCTCACGGCTCTCTGAAGATGTACGTGTGCTCTGTCCCACAACCTCTCACTACGTCGGATCCAATCGTCCACCGCAGGGACCGATAAGGGTTCGCCAGTCCACGGGAACAAAGGGGGTTGATACCCAAGGACGCACTGGAAGGGAGTCAAACCAGTGAATGAGTGTGTAAATGAATTTTGTGCGGATTCAGCCCATGGAAGGAATTCAGACCAGCGGTGTTGTTCTCGGCTACAATATGGACGAAGATATCTGCCTATCTCCTGGTTTAATCGTTCGATTTGTCCATTTGCCTGAGGTTTATGTTGATGTCAAGATGTTTGCAGAAAGCTTTCCAAACTTGGGACGTAAACTGGGTTCCTCTGTCGCTGACGATATAATCTGGTATACCATAAATTTGAAAGACATGATGAAACAGTGTTTGTGCCGTCTCCATGGCTGTAAGGAGTCCTTTTAGAGGAACCAGATGACAAGATTTGGAGAAACGGTAAGTGATAACTAGGACAGCAGTGAAGCCGTTGGACAGAGGCAAGTCTGTGACAAAGTCAATAGATAGATGGGACCAGGGACATTGTGGGATGGGCAGTGGTTGGAGGAGACCTGAAGGTAACTCCTTGGGGGTCTTTGATTGGGCACAGACTTGACAGGTTTTGACATCCTTGCAAGTAGTGACATCCTTGGTCATCGAGGGCCACCTGAATGAGTTTTGCAGTAAGTGAAGAGTGCAGGATATTCCTGGATGGCCAGAGCTGACAGAAGTGTAGACCCATTGCATTATTCTGTGACGTAGATTTTGTGGAACATACTGTTTGTCTGGTGGGCAGTTGACAGGTGCTGGCTCTTGAAGTTGTTCCCTTTGTATTTCCTCCATTATGTCCCAGGTGATAGGAGCGATGACAATAGAAGGTGGGAGTATGCATTCTGGTGTGATGCTTTCAATGTGGAGATCATACTGCCTGGATAGAGCAGCTGCCTTACTATTCTTATATCTTACTATACTGCCTGGGCGATATGTCACCGTAAACTGGAATTGGGTGAAAAAAAGGGACCAGCGAGCCTGGCGTGGGATTAGTCGTTTGGCACTCTTGATGTATTCTAGATTTGTGTGGTCAGTTATTACTTTGAAAGGGGTGGACTGCTCCTTCTAACCAGTGTCTCCATTGCTCGATGGCTGCTTTCATGGACAAGAGCTCTTTGTTCCCAACATCATATTTCCTTTCAGCTGCAGTTAACTTTCTTGAGAAGAATGCGCATGGATACAGTTTACCGGGTTGGCCATGGCGTTGGGAGAGCACAGCTCCGATTCCACAGTCCTAAGGGTCAACCTGCACCACAAATGGAAGATTGGGGTCAGGACGTTTCAGGATGGGGGGCTGTTGTAAACCTTTCCTTCAATGTATTGTATGCCTGGCTGGCATCCTCAGTCCACTTCAACTTCGAAGGCTTTCCTTTCAGGAGGGATGTCAGAGGGGAAGCAATCATACTGTAATCTCTGATGAAGCGTCTATAGAAGTTGGCAAACCCCAGAAACCTTTGAAGCTCTTTTACGGTGGATGGTTGTGGCCATTCTGTGACTGCCTTGACCTTGGATACATTCATTTTTACTCCTTGGTGACTGATATGGTAACCCAGGAATGAAGTCTGTCTGACATGAAACTGACATTTTTCTGTCTTGTTGTACAGTTGGTTTGCTATTAGTCGAGAGAGGACGGTCTTGACATGGTTGATATGTTCATTTTTAGACTTTAGGTAAATCAAGATGTTGTCAATGTAGGCTATTACGTACTGGTTCAGAAGGTCTCGGAAAATCTCATAAATGAATGACTGGAAAACAGCTGGAGCATTGGCAAGCCCATACGGCATAACCTGATATCCCCTAGTGGTGAGGAAGGCAGTTTTCCATTCATCAACCTCTTTGATTCTGATCAGGTTATATGCACACCTTGGGGCAAGTTTGGTGTAAATGGTAGCCTCACGGAGCTGTTCTAGGGCTGAAGGAACCAGTGGAAGGGGGTAGCAGAATTTCACTGTGACGTTGTTTAGTCCTCTATAATCAATACAAGGCCTTAACCCTCCATTCTCACAGAAAGTGGACGACTTGTCAGCTCACCCTGATGCCAGGAAATGATGGGGTCATGAATGGATAGCCATGGAAATCTGAGGATCACTTTGAGTTTAGGGGAGTCAAAGACATACAAGATTAATTCTTGATGAAACAAACCAACTTGGAGTGTTAATGGCTTGGTCTGATGGGTAATCCCCTCTCCAATTGAGTTATCGTCTGCAGATTTGATCTTGATGGGAGGGTTGCATGGTTGGGTAGGAATGTCATATTTTTTTGATGAGATCTTTGTTAATGAGGTTCAAAGCTGCTCCAGACTCGATCATCATTGTTAATGAACTAGTAATATATCCAGTCTTTAGTTTAATAGGGAGCTTGAATGACTTGTTGCTTAAAAGTGAAAAGTGTTCAATATTTACCCGAGAGGTTGTTTGGGCCTTGTGTGGGCACCCTTGACTGCAATGGCCTGCTTCACCACAGTAAAAGCATAGTCGGAGTTGACGTCATCTCATCCTTTCCTCCTCAGATAATCTAGAAAGACATAGTTGCATCGGTTCATCACTTGGTTTGGTGGTTGATGTTGTCATAGGTTGAGTGACGGCCGGCGAAACGTGTTCAAATCATCTTGCATTTTTTCGTCTCGGGACTTGTCTCATCAGGTTGTCAATTTTTATGGTAACAGTCACAAAGTCAGAAAACGATAAATTCTCCCCTTTACAAGTCAGCTCTGCCTGCAGATCAGTGTTGAGGCTCTGTTGGAACACGGCTTTCAGTGAAACATCATGCCATCCGCTCTGAGCAGCGAACATTCTGAACATGATGGCATATTCGGCAGCAGTACGGTTACCTTGTGACATTTGTAGAATCTGCGTTGTTATATCCTTGCCCCCAGCGGGATATTCAAACACTTCTCACAGTTGTTGGAGGAAGTAATCAAAAGATCTTCTAAATCGCACATCCGTTTCCCAAACTGCTGCAGCCCAGTTGATCACCTTGCCAGATCATAACGTCATCATGAAAGCGC